TACATGCGATTCTGCCCCATCGCCCATCCGAAATATGAATTCGTGTCATCCCACGCAAACCGGCATCACTCCCCCCCGCCATCCTCTGCGCCAAAACCTACGCGCGCGCACTCGTTGATTAAAAAACATAAGTCGTCCAGAATCCTCGCGAACAGTATCGCGAGGTTATCGGGCGCGCGTCCACGTCAAAACCGTAGTAAACACAATCAATGCGTTCGCAAGCGTTTCAGCCCACGGCAACAACGAAACAAAAAATCAAAAAAAAAAAAAAAAAAAAAAAAAAAAAAAAAGACAGATGTGAATTTGTTGTCCTCGCGCGCATGCTAAAATCATGATAAACCATTGGATCCTGAATAATTCTGCCACGTCCAAAGATTTCATGCCGCCGCGCCGTGCACCCGCAATGCTCCTGTCATGTGCCGAGGGCGCGAAACCTTTGCAAAACAAATACCACGCGGGCCACATGCGCGCACCGCCGCGCGCGCATGATCAGTCTGACGGATTTGTTGAACTTCCGCGCGCGCGGGTGTCCTTTTCAACCTTGTCAGCATCACCGCGATCACCTGCGTCATCGACAGATGGACACCAGCATCGCCAACGTGTTTGCCATTATTGGCGCCGTTATCGTTCGTGCCGTCGCCCTCTTGCACATCGTCGTCGCTGGTGCCGTCTTCGTCATTGCCACAGACGTTGCCAACGTCATCCTGTCATCGCGCACGTCCGAGTATCGTCGATATGCTCACCTTCATCATCGACTCACGGTGACGAGTATCGGCAGCGATGATGTTACCATCGATGTCTTCATCGGTGGCGCCGCCATCCCTTGCATCATGAGTTTTGCCGAGCAAGTTGCGGGTGGGAGGGTAGGATGCGTTCGCGTGGAGGTGGTCAAGCGCGGTGCAGGGTAGTCAATTGCACCAGGTAGATAGCTCCACGCACGCTCCAAATCATGGATTACACCATATCAGGTGCACCGTCCAAATTCTCCTTTCTAAAAACAGAATAGGATCGACTCCCCCCCTGGCGTTATCAGCCCCCCTTTACGGAAATTTAAATCATATATGGTTCTGACCACATGTCCATCCGAACCATGAATATACACTATCCCAGGCCAGCCGGGTTCCCCCCCCCTGAGGTTCCCTTGTGGGAAAAACACTATGCGGTGACATTTTGTTCGAACATACCACTTCTTTTCCGCGAATCCTTTGCAAAACAAAGAAGTGCACACGCGCGCGTCGTCGCGCGCGCATGCCAAAATCATTCAAAAACCTTCGGTGCCGAAGGATTTCGCAATCGATTTTTTTCTTTTTTTTTTAACAAAAAAAAACAAAAATAAACATACAAAAACACAGGGTGTCGCAACACCGACTTGCTAAAAAAGCTTCCGCGCGAACACTTGCGAAATCTTTAGAAAATCATAGGTTTCCAAAGTTTCACAACAAGCTATTAAACGGGCTTCGCGCGCGCGCATGTCGAACTATGTCGAACGCCCCTGCGCGTGTGCCGTCGCGAGAATCCTCTGCAACAGCTGGGACGAAGTGCAGACGCGCGCGTCGTCGCGCGCGTATGCCCAACACCTTCAAAACCCATCGGTTTCGGAGGGGTTTCACAATCGTGCGCCCAAAAAACATACAAAAACACAAGGTTTCGCACCACAGATGTTCAACAAAAGCGTGCGCGCGCGCTCTTGCGTCGTCGCCGTCATCGTCGTCGTCGTCGTCGCCGTCCTCCCTCCTCCCGCGTCGTCGTCGTCGTCGCCTACGTCGTCCTCTGTTTTTCCTCGTGTTCGTCGTCATCGTCCTCTTTGGCGTCGTGGTCGTTTCCGTCGTCGTTGTCGCAATGGTCGTCCTTCCTCCTCCTCCCTCAAAGTCGTCGTCGTCCGTCGTCGGCGTCCTTCCTCCTCCCTCGTCGCCGTTTTCGTTGGCGACGTCGTCGACTTCGTCGTCGTCGGCGTCGGCGGCGTTGTCGTCGTCGAAGTCGTCGGAGACGTCGTCGGTGTCGTCGTAGTCGCCGTCGTCGTCGTCGTCGTCGTCGTCGTCGTCAGTGTCGTCGCAGTCGGTGTCGGCGGCGCCGTCGTCGTCGTTGTCGCTGATGTCGTCGGCGTCGGTGTCGTGGCCAAGTGTCATGTGGTACCTACCGTCACGGTCTTGTCTTAAAAGGTCTTGCGAACAAATTGCGGGTGGGAGGGTGGGATGTATGCTATGTGCGAGCAGTGGAGAGGACAGCTTCAAGACGGTTAAAAATTGATTCTCCCCGGACTTATCCGTTCCCCCTTCGGGTATGTAAATCATATATGGTTCTGACCACTCGCCCATCCGAAATATGAAATCATAGCATCCAAGCCAAACCGGTTTCCCCCCGTGAGGTTCCCTTGTAAAAAAACACACACACTATGCGGTGACATTTGTTGTTCTAACAGAACACTTTGTTCACGAATCCCTCACAAAAAACGGGACGAAGTGCACACGCGCGCGTCGTCGCGCGCGCATGCCGAAATCCTTCAAAAACCTTAGGTGCCGGAAAGATTTCGCAATCGAGTTTTCAAAAAAAAAACCAAAGGGTTCCGCAACACTGATTTGCTGAAAAAGCTTCCGCGCGAGCTGTTGCGGAATCTTAGAAGAACCACAGGTTTTCAAGATTTTCACAACATGCTACCAAACGGGCTTCGCGCGCGCGCGCATGTCGAAATATGTCGAACGCCCTTGCGCGTGTGCCGTCGCGAGAATCCTCTGCAAAAAAACGGAACGAAGTGCAGACGCGCGCGTCGTCGCGCGCGTATGCCGAACACCTTCAAAACCCATCGGTGTCGGAAGGATTTCAAAATCGTGCGTCCAACATACCTACAACAACCTAAGGTTTCGCAACACGGATTTTCAACACCAGCGTGCGCGCGCGCTCTTGCGTCGTCGTCGTCGTCGTCGCCGTCCTCCCTCCTCCCGCGTCGTCGTCGTCGTCGTCGTCGTCGTCGTCGCCTACGTCGTCCTCTGTCTTTTCTCGTGTTCGTCGTCGTCGTCCTCTTTGGCGTCGTGGTCGTTTCCTTAGTCGTTGTCGCCGTGGTCGTCCGTCCTCCTCCTCCCACGTCTTCGTCGTCGTCGTCTGTCGTCGGCGTCTCGTCGTCGGCTCTATTTCGTCACCGTCGTCGTCGTCGTCGTTGCCGTCGTCGTCTTCCCTCCTCCCTCGTCGTTGTCGTCGTCGGCGTCGCCGTCCTTCCTCCTTCGTCGTCGTTCGCGTCGTCGCCGTCCTACCTCCTCCCTCGTCGTTGTCGTCGTTGTCGTCGTTGTCGTCGTTGTCGTCGTTGTCGCCGTCGTCGTCCTTCCTCCTCCCTCGTCGTCGCCTTCGTTGGCGTCGTCGTCGTCTTCGTCGTCGTCGGCGTCGGCGTCGTTGTCGTCGTCGAAATCGTCGGAGACGTCGTCGGTGTCGTCGTCGTCGTTGTCGTCGGTGTCGTCGTAGTCGGTCTTAAGAGGTTTTGCAAACCAAGTTGCGGGTGGGAGGGTGGAATGTTTGCGCGAGCAGTGGAGAGGACAGCTTCAAGTTGAGCAAGTGATTAAGTGCACCACGTAAGTTGGACCACGTAGATTGCCCCACGTCGATTGCGGAACATAGACTGCTAGACGACGCACTCTGTGCGGGGTCCACTGGCTAACGTATTTATGTCGTTTGCCGATTTCTCCCTTCTGAAAACCGTGGGGCGATGAGCCCACCAGCTCCGGGACAAAGGCAATCTGATAGTTTCGGATGGGGGCGAATCGGGAATCCCTGAATGCCAGCGGGTCTGATGGATGCATCGGGCGCCACGGTTGTTTCAAAGCGACCAGGAGCTTACAGCTCCAGCGCGAGCTCTCCTCGCCCTAGGCCGAAGCCTGCCTGATCCTCCCTCCCAGCACAGTGGCGAAATCCGATCAGGAGCTGGCGCGACAAACTCGGGGACCCATCTGATGGCGACCGACGCCTCGGGAACTCGGGCGCCGCCGTCCCAGCGCCGCCTCTCGAGAACGCCGCGGGGCGCTCTCGGAACGGTTTCCCTCCTTCCGTCTCCTGCTCTCCCTCCTCCACCCTGTTCGTCGTCATCGCGCTGCTCCTCCGTCGCCTTGACCACTTGGCTCTGAACGTCCTCCATCTCTCTCTCTCTCTCTCTCTCTCAGTTTCACCCTTCTTGCACTTCCTCTCCTGCCTCCTGGGCCACCGAACCACTTCAACGTCCAACTTCGCAGAAGCAACACTTGGACACAGAGAGCCGCTCCCCGAACACCAATGGGTCGAGAAGACTTTCTGGGACAACGACAAGTTTTTCTTTCCAACCTCATCGAGTTAGTGAAAACAGAGGGAAGGAGGCGACACCCCTCTGTTTTTGACCAAACCTGCAACGCGTTAGGAAGCAGGAGGTCGGGGAGACGCGGGAGACCGCGACTCCAACCCCCGCCCACACCATACAGGCCTTGCTGTACGGGGAGAGTGGGGGGGGGCGCAGTGCGCCGCCAAGTGGCAGGAGCTGCCACCAAGAAAACTAGGATGCCCAAATCGACCACCCACACAAGGACGACGAGACCTGCCACCCCAGGCGCAGAGAGCGCCAGGACGGTGGCAGGCCTCGCCCAAGATGTGGGGTATGCACACGGATGCCTGCCCTGAGGGTCAGTCGCATCGGGCCGTGCGCCATTGGCAGGAATAAAAACAACACGCACACACACACACACACCACGCGCCATCCGCGCGAAGAATTGCAACGCACTGCATGCACAGGGCAAGTGCTAGGACGCAGGGGAAAGAACCCGTTCCTGAAAACCGGCATGCGTCCGTGCATGTCCGAGGTCTGCCGCGGCCCTGGCACCGGCTCTTCAGCGCCTTCTGCGCTGGGGTGAGGGCCGAATACATTGTGAGGAAGCTCCCCGCGAGAGCGCGGCTCCTGCACAACTCGCCATCGCTCGGACGTCCATTCCGTGCATTGTTCGATTTCGTGCGTGTATTTTTCGCTAACTGATCAAAGATGCTCCTCGATTGTCCCCGCCGAGAACAAATGCACACGTCCGAACGCTGCCAAGACAACTTGTGAAGAAGTCACGCGCGAATCAAGCACCCGCCCGCGGAAAGCAGCGTCCTCCTCAGCAGCATCCCGCACCCTTGACGGGAAGGGCCAAGGAAGAGACAGGCTGGAGAGGGGCCAGCCGTGGCGACTGGGCAGAGGAGGAGGAGGAGGAGGAGGAGGAGGGGGAGGAGGAGGAAGGGAGAATGAGGAGGGCGAGGGAGGAGAAGGAGGAGGAGGAGGAGGAGAAGGAGGAGGAGGAGGAAAAGGCCAGGAGACACAGAAAATCGCTACGAGCAGACTGACTACCTACCAGACCACCCCAACCCAACCCGAAGACCCGAATTTCGGGTTGGGGGGGGTAAGGGTTCCACGCGTGTTTGTTCGATGTTTCCCGACCCCCCCCCCACTGGAAATCGAGGGTAAATCTGAGCCTTCGGGTTGGGTTGGGGTGGTTTGGTGGGTGGTGACAGACACAGCCATGCAGGAGGCGAGGGGAGGCAGCAAAAGCAGCAGGAGGCAAGCGCGCATGACGGGGGCGGGGCGGGCGGGGGGCGGAAGGAACGAGGGTCGCCGTGGGGTTCATCGTGGGTCGTCGTGGGGGTTCGTCGTGGGCCGTCGCCGTGTTGGGGGCCGTCGCGCCCCTGAAAACCCGGGCGCGAGATGCACGCGGGGGCGAGCCCAGAGCACCCGGAACGCAGCAGCTTCTTCAACGGCCGCGGAAAGCCATCGAGCAGCGCGCGGAGAGAAGAAACCCAGGGCACAATGACGAAGAGCATCTGGTTTCTTGATGCGCGCCCCCACTGTGCTCTTCCTATCCTGCCTCCTCCCTCCCTCCCTCTCCCCTCCTCCCACTTCCTCCCTCTCCTCCTCCTGCGCCCCCTCCCCCTCCTCCGGGGGAACTGCTCGTCGATTTGTGTTGGGGATCTCTCGTGCATGTTCGGCCTCCGGGGTCCTCTTAGAGCCCCGGGACTGTCAGAAATCGACTCGGGACGAAGCACCAGCCAAGATGGGCCCTGAGAAATCGTTTTACAATACACGCGCGGCTCCTCATGCCAAATCAGTGAAGATTGCATGACCGTCCGTCAACATGAACTTGGCCCACGCCAAGACCGCCATGAGGAAGAAGGCATTCGTCAGAAGCAGGGCGAACACATCACACAGGAGTGCCTGCCCGAAGATCTCGATGATGTACCACGCCGGGCTGACGAGTAAGCCAAGCCAGACAACGCCATGGAGGTGGACGGTCAGAACCAGTAGGGATGTGGTCTCGACGTAATTCAGGAAGTTCAGCCTGTACGGGTGGGTCCTGACGTGGTAGACGGTGTAGAAGAACATGATGCAAACCGCGATGGTGAACAGCTGTCCCGAGTAGTACGTCTCTGGAGACGCTGCGACGATGATCGCCGAGGCCATGTTCTTCGTCAGGCGATTGGCCTCCCACGCCTGGTGCGTTGTACGGTACGAAGCGGTGAGGAAACCAATGAAAAGTGCCATCCCTCATATTGCGAAGAAGCCACCTCCACAGCCTGGGCCCGCCAGCGAACGCCAAGAGAAAAACAACTCCACGGACTGACGCGTAACTCCACCTCTTCCCGCACTATTCCCCCTGACCACCGCCAGCGTCCACAATCCCTCCGTGAAACTCGTGGCCCGCAGGCGGCAAACCACACCGAGAACTGGGGTGGCAAGGGCCAGGACGATGATTGGGTTCGCCAACGACACCCCCAGCCACTCGCTGAGCGAGAGTGCCCGCCCGAGACCAAGCCAGCAGTCGGGGCTCGAAGAATGAGCCCCCACCTGAACGACGGAAGAAACGAGGACTGAAGCGCGACGACAAGGCGATCTTACGCGGTGGCTGATGCGGGTCGCCAAGGCGGCACGCCGTGTGGAGAAGAGGGCTTTCGCGCGGTCTTACGCGGACAGCCCACGCGCCAATGTCTGCGCAGCCGACCATTTCTGTTCCGTCGCTCGCCTCCAGCGCGGTCCTCTCCGCGAGGGTCGCCAGCCAGAAGGTCGCCAGCAGCGCGAGCGGGAGCCACGCGCGCGGCACTTCTCAGTGGACGGGCGCGGAACGCGCCCCGGGCCTCGCACTGCCCCGAGCCACGGCGGCCGCGGCAGGGGCAGGTCCCAAGAGAGGTCCAGGAGCGGCCGAGGGGGGAGGAAGCAGGCAAGAGGAGGGCCGAGGGTCTTGGGCGCGTTCCGGCCTTCCGGGATCTCTGGGGAGCTCCTCGTCGTCGCGGCTGGACACGCCACGAGATCCGGGCCGAAACGGACCGAGGGGCCACGCAGCGCGAACGAGCGACGGCCCGAAGGGCCATTGACGAAGGCGGGCCGCGAGACCTCGCACGCCGCAGACCGTGCAGGGGAGGAGGAGGAGGAGGAGGAGGAGGACGAGGAGGAGGGGTGGAGGGCTCCCTGGGACTCTTTGTCATGAGCGCTGCGTGCGAGGGAGGAGGGAAAGCCAAGCGAGGAGCCAC